AAAGAGAGAGAGAGAGAGAGAGAGAGAGAGAGAGAGAGAGTTGAAAATGTTTTACTCTCTCAAGGAAAGAATTTCAATAATACGTACAGGTGGTGGGTGGGGTTGAAACTTTGACAGCATATCCATTTATAATTTTATAATAATATATTCCAACTCACACAAGTACATACACACATACACACAAACATACAAGCTTACATACACTCAAGCTTACATATTATTACGTACAAAACATAACCCTATACAGATAGACAGACAGACATATGAATGGATGGACAGATGGATGGACAGACAGATAATTGTATCAGATAGATAGACTGACAAACAGACAGAGAGACAGACAGACAGACAAACGGATAGATAGATGAGTCTAACAGAAAGCAAAAATCATACCTCAGAAAAACAACCAACCCCCCCCCCCCATCAAACCCCTCCCCCCAGGACTTCATAGGGGAAAAAAAAAAAACAGAATTTCCTCACTTTTAAAAAATACATCATCCGCAGTGGAGTTCGGTGAAACGGCGCTGCCATTGCAAGCGTTCTCATTGGCTGCTATTTTTGGCACATGGCTGGAGCCATCCAGAGAGTCAAGGTTCTCCCCCTTTGTCTCAGCGACAGACGAGGAAGGTTCTGCCCCGGAGGAGTTTTGAGCAGACGTCGAAGCGGTGGAGGCTGTGGTAGTGTCTTTCACAATGGACGGTTCTGATGGGTCACATTTTCCCTCATTCCGTGGACAACTTTCAGAGTCTACAGGAGGAGTGAAGGAGGATGAGGGGGAGGAGGGACCTAGATCTGGAATAGGAGACGTGGGCAAAGGGGGCGGGCAGTCGTCTTCACTCCCATCCTCACCAGTAGGGGGCTCTGAAGACATTTGTTCCCTGGCCCCTCCTCTGTCGTCTGTCGCTGATGACGACGATAATGACGATGACAAGAGAGGTTGTGACCCTTCCTCCGAGAGGTCGGGGTTGGAGGAATTCCCGGAGGAGGGGAGGGCACTGGCGTCTTGTTCCAACTTGCCGGAGATGCTAGTGGGGGAGAGGGAGTGGGGGGAGCTGAGTCTCTCGCTGTCCACGCTGGAGTTCCCGTCGAAGACTCGATCGTGCTGGGCGTCGTTAATATCACTAGGTGGCTGGAGGGACATAGACGGGGGGCGAGGAGTGAAGTCCAACTCCACAGAATCAGCGTCGGATTCCTGGCACGTGTTTTGGAGAAGGGACTCGAACAGATCTTCTCCAAACTTGGTCAAGTCGTCAGAGTCCTCACCGGCGGGAGTATTTTTCTTCTCCTTGTCAGACGATGACTCGCCCGATGACTCATGGGGGCGGGAGTCGGTCACGTCTGACCCAGGATTTCTGCTGTCCGTCGTTGAGTCGCTTGTCTGGTCCGGGGGAGGGGTGGGGAGGGCTGGAAATGTTTCTGGAGATTTTGATTTTGATCTGCTGGATCTTTTGAGTACAACGGAATATTCGTTATCGCTGGGAGACACAACAGTACGGTCATTGGAAGGGCTGAGAGGGGTTTGACACGCAGGTTGACCTTTGACATAAGTGGGCGATACAAGGTCAGTGACCTCTGGTGCTTCGTCTGTTGAGGTCAGTCGGTCGTAGTGACCTTCGTCAAGGTCAGACCCTGTTGGATTCTTCTGGTCTGTGACGTTGGCTGAGGAAGACGAAGATTGGCTTTGTGCAGGAGGATTGGAGGTTAAATGTTTATCGGAGGAATTCTGAACACAGGTGGGAGGAGGATGAGGAAGAGAGGAGGAGGAGGGAGCTGAGGAGGAAGCACTAGTGTTTGAGCAGGCCGCATGGACGGGCGAGGTGTCGGGGCTGTTGCTCTCTGAGGTGGCGCCACTGACACAGCTCCCGAGGCTGCTGTCACACAGGACGGACCGAGAGTCTTTCAGGCTGTCGCTGCTGTTGCTGTTGCTTTTGTTGTTGCTGTTGTTGTTGCTGCTGTGTTTGCTGTTGTTGACACCACAGCTCGCTGACTCACTAGGAAGTCCAGTTTCCGAGACAGCTGGATCCCCACGCCCGTGTGAGGTGGACGACGAGCGACCATGTTGCCCTTGACGGAAGCGAAGCGAGTCTAGTGTCGCGTAGCCGGAATCCATATCCCCAGCGTCGCGACTACTGTTCTCACACCCGCTGTCGCTGTCTGAGTTCGCTCCCTTAACACTGTAAAAGCCGCTGTCTTTTTTGTTGGGAGCCGCGAACGCCTCAGAGATTTTCGGGGACCTTGAACCACAGCTGTTGGTCCTCTCTGGCAAGGATGAAGAAGCGACCATCACGCCGACACCTTCCTGCCCACACGCCGACGTCTCCCCGAGGGTGGGCTGAGAGACATCCGATGTGACGTCAGTTGTGTCAACAGAGGGCGTGGTCCTGTTACTGTCGCTGGTGTCCTGTGTGTCCGTCGGGCCGAGGATGTCCGCGGGGTCCTCGTAGTCGTGGGAGGTTGAGGTTCCAGCCTGGGATGGTTTAGGCACGAGGTCTCCCATATCCTGGAAATGTCAAGAGACATGATGAGAGAAGACAATTAATGTGGGGCCTTGTGGTGAAATCAGACGCTTGTCAGAAGAAGGAATTCAAAGAAAATGACATTTTTTCACTAGTAGGGCAGTTTTTATTAACATTTTCTCTTGGGCAATTTTTATTAAAATTTTTCTTTTGGGCTCACCATTTTTTATGTCCACTTAAAAATACATTCCTGCTTGTATCTTACTGAAAGTATGATGTTGATCCAAGACACAAAATACGTAATTTGCATCACAATTAGGTCATATAATTGTGATTTGAAACTGTAACTCCAATTTCTCAACAGGGATAAATAACAAAGAATGTTTTTTAATTATTTGTTCTGGCACTGCAAGTTTTCAACCACTCCCTATTACATGACATTCTAGCTGACACGGGAAGCCAATGCAACGTTCTTAACATGGGAGTAATGTGGTCCCTCTTCTTTTTCTTTAGTACAAGCCTGGCAGCATGACTTTGAAGACTTTGTAACTTGTGAAGAGAGGTATTTGGTAAGTTAGCTAGTAAAGCATTGCAATAATCGATGCGTGGAAACAAAAAAGATGCTTTTAACATGTCATATAAAATTACAATATTATGTCAAAAATGTGTCAATAGCAAAGCTCCCTCCTCATATCTCAGTGATCTCATTCAGATTTATGTTCTATCTAGATCACTAAGATCAGGCAATCAGGACCTTTTAAGAGTTCCCAGAAAAGGAGGTAAAAAATTAGCTGAAAGATCGTTCGCCCACCTTGCTCCATCAGTTTGGAACTCTCTTCCCCAACCCTTGAGACATGCAACATCTGAGTCTAAATTTTAATCATCTTTAAAGACGCATTTAATGAAATCATTTTTATGTCAGTAAATTCATGTCCTATGTAAATGATGATGTATCCTTTTATGTATTTTGTTCACCGGCGAATTGCATTGTGTATATTTTAAAATCATGTACTGTTTTAGGCTTATGTGCTCATTATGTAATGATGTGTAAGCGTGCGCCTGTGATAAACAAGTGTGTGTGTGTGTGTGTGGTGTGTGTGTGTGGTGTGTGTGTGTGTGTGTGTGTGTGTGTGTGTGTGTGTGTGTGTGTGTGTGTATGAGCGTGTGTAAATATTGTTCGTACTTGCATTTATGTAAAGAGCCTAGAGCGGTGTTCACACGGGATTGGCGCTATAGAAATGATCTACATTATTATTATTATTAATGTTATTACTATTCTATTAAAAAAAAAATTATTAGGATGTTAAATCCCAAAATGAAATGAATTTAAAAAGGGAACTAACTCCTTGACAAAAAGATGCCCTATACATTGCTCGAATTATTACCCTGTTACTTCCCTTCGCGCAGCAGATAACGGGGACCGGGAGAGATGGCTTGCGTCAAAGGTAGGCTACCCTTGTTTTTTTCTTTGGAATTTTTGTGTTTGATAATGTACTTCAATAGGTTTTACGTGGACAGCACGGGGAAAATACTGCACATTTATACCTGAGCCCCCCCCCCCCCCCGCTCTCTCTCTCTCTGTTTATCTCTGTCTTTCTCTCTATTTCTGTATTACCGTACCATTCTATATTCTTAGCATCGTCTTTATTACTATTTTTACAGTTATTAATATCATTATTATTATTAATATCATTATTATTATCAAGATTAAAAACATCATTATTATTATCATTATTTAAATCATTATTATTATCATCGTTATCATCATCATCATCACAATAACTGCCACTGACCCACTGTTTGAGCACGGTAAAGCTGAGTAGACTGGCGGCATCAGAGGAGTTATCTCCCGCCACCAGGTACTCCTCCAGCCCCTCAGGAACTGTGTCTGCTCCTGTCTCTGACGTCAGCACGCGCACCCAGCCGCCCATCTCCTCTTTGCTCACCGGCTGGGGGGGACACACGGGGGGGGGGTAGAGCTTTAGTTTAGTTTTAGTAAGAGTTTTACAGCATTTGCAACACAATAAGGTCAAAGAGTGCTGAAGATTGGAGGTGTTACAAGAGAGTAACAGAGAAAAGAAGGAAGGGAGATAAGGAGGATAGTTGTTTAATAGGAAATATGGAGAAAACTACACCAGAGCACACGCCAACCGCCCACGGATAGAGTTTGGTTCAGGGAATATAGCGCTTGCACTTGCATAGATGTACGTACGTATTCACAGTCACATACAGACGCATAGAAACGAACAGACACACAAACCCATAACCACACAAATTAACACACATATCTGATCTATATATTTGCACATACATACGCACACACAC